ACAGACCATTAAACCAAGTGCAGGGCTCTTCTAAGTGTGGAGCCCTGTGTGATTGCACAGATCAAATGCCAATGAAGCTGACCCTGTCTTTAGGATTAAAGGTGCTGGCACGAAACTGTCCCTTGGGAGGACAAACAATTCCAATTTCACCTTATTAAGAGACTTCCTTTTTATCAGCTCAGGAACCTTGACAGGTGGCTGGTAACTAGGGAGAAAAAGGGAGAGATGTAGCACTTCTAGGAAGCCCCATTTCGGCAAATCTTAAAATCTTCTGTCTGGGCCAGGTTATGATCTATCGCACCCTGATAGTGACAATGGGAAAACTGGCCTTGGGTCAGTCTATTTTGAGCCCTCTGAATGGCATGGGAAAGGGCCAGTGAAAGGGGGGTTGAGGTGACAGGTAAGATTTACTGGTCTGCCTAGTGGTAACAAGGGCTCCCTTCTGCCATTTAGTTGGGCCTTGACTTTCTAAAAAGAACCTTCTACCAGAAGTCCTTGAAACCAGCCTAGGTGGGGGTAGAGGTGTGTCTGTGCGTGTGTTTCACAGCCGGACACAAATGGCTAGAGTCTAACTTCTTTACTCAGAACCTTGGATAATTAAAGTCTTTTGCCTGAAGGGTAATACAGACTTCAAGCATCTCAGAATCCCCTGACATTCTTGAGGCCAGAAATTCATTTCATTGGGAATCCATCAAGCCAAGAGAGTCAACATTGTAAAGCAGATGCTTGACGTCAGACCTCACCCTTCTTCCTCCTCTGCTCTATCCTTCTCCTCCAAGCTCATTCTGGGAATTTGAGGGAGAGTGATTGAGGCAAAAATCTTGGATCACATTCCTGAATAGGGTGGTGAATGAACTGGCAGCCAAAGTGAGCCCTGTGCTGGGCAGAGACGTGGCAGCCACAGTGCCCCCAGAAGGGCCACCTTGAGCTGCCGGCTCCCAGCAAGGAGGGCAGGCCTTACTGAATACCATTGGTCCAAAGAAATTCTTCAAACACTCCGGATACATGTGGAGCTCTCTTAATGAGGGGTGCTCAGGAGAACTCTCTCTCCCACCTCCCCTCCCCACCCTCACTCTGGGTCAGGCTTCTCATCCTGGCATGGAGCATGGCAACTTATTTTATTAATGCACACTTTAGGGGAAGATGCATCATTTCAGCAGGTCAACAGGAGAAATACTTGCAGGCTGGGTACTCTCACCTCACCTCTGTCTTTGCCAACAAAGCTGAGTTGGGCTGGTAAGGGAGGAAGCAGGAAGATGTTTGGGCCCTGAGCTGCTGGGGTGGGAGGAGGTCTGGTCTTCATCTGGTGAAGTTACAACTGCCCCAGCTCCCTTATTCGGGGCTCGGAGTTCTCCATCAGGCCCAGCCCTTCCTCTGTCTTTTCTCTCTGGAGTTGAAGGCTGGCTGATACAGGCCTAACGGTGCTCTGAGGCCTTCGGACTCCTGCAAGTTGTGAGTCCTTCTCTGAAACACTCCTCTCTTCAGGTTGCTCTATCCCTGGGAGTGTTCTGGACCACAGTGCCATGTGATGTACTCATAGGAGTGCCACTGGAGGGGCCACTGGGGTGTGTCCTGGGGCAGCACCAGTGACTCCCAGAGGTCATGGTCCTACAGCACTGTAAGCTAACTGGGAGGGCATGAAAGGCAAGGTTCCTAGCCTCAGTGGTGCTCATGGGAGGTAGTCAGAAGACCAGGATGTCCAGATGAGGAAATAAAACTTTCAGCTGCTTCCATGGGCATCAAAGACACTCTAGGAAGAGACAAATCATTTCCTGGGAGTAAGAGGAGGAAAGAGACAAAATGGCAGAGATCCGGTCTGATTCTGGAAAGGAAAAAAAGGATTTTTTTTAGATTTTCCTTTAAAATAGCTTCTAGTTCTCACCTGAAAAAAAAAAATTAAAAAGGGAGGGTATAGCTCAGTGGTAGAGTACATGCCTAGCGTGCATGAGGTCCTGGGTTCAATCCCTGGTACCCCCACCAAAAGAAATAAATAGATAAACCTAATGACCTCCCCACTATAACTAACTAACTAACTAACTAACTAACTAAATAAATAAATAAATAAATAAAATAGCTTCTAGAATATTCAAGTCAATTAACTCATCATCACCATCCGTTTCCAGTAGCTGAGGAGGCACTTAGGTGATTCACATTCACAGAAACTCTTTTTTACCTACACAACATTCATCTTCCTGCATTCTCACAGCCCCAGACATTTGATATGGATCATTTAAGAGCCGCCAAGATGCTGGCCAGAGACGAGTGGTAAGTGGCTAAGAGCGCAGGCTCAGGAGCTCTTGTTGCCTGTGTGCCTTTGGGTAAGTTACTTAACTTCTCTAAAGCTTGGCTTCCTCATTTGGAAAAAAAAAAAGAAGAGAGAGAGAGAATGACAATAGTACTTAACACAAAGAGTTGCTCCAAGGACTGAGATGATGTAGGCAAAGCTTTTAGTACAACAAAAGCAAGTGCGTCCAGGTCCATCCGGAGGAGCCGGGCTCAACACCATCAGCACAAAATCATCACCATCACCATCATCATCATCTTGGCAGCTGCCGTTTATTCAGTTGGGTGCCAGGTACCCTACTTTAGCCAGCCTTTAATCATCCTTAAGATCCTACAAATTGGGCTGTTTATTCCCTAAAACTCAACTGCTGATAGATCTGAAACCCTGGGCTCAGGGGCCCACCCACTGTGAAAGTAGCTCCAGAGGAATGATGATATTATAGTGATTTAAGCTGAAAAATGGAGGAATTTGTCAGGGCTCCATTCCTCACGTGGGTCAGGATGGGATCTAAGTCGATGGAAGGATGGTAAATAGACAGAAATATCAGGGGCTATTTTCTCTGGAACCCATTACTTGTATGAGGTTAGACAAATCATCAAATATCCCCAAACCTTGATTCTCTTCATCTTCAACGTGAAAATAATGTAATAATGTCTGCCTTGCCTCACAGCATTGACCTCAGGATCACATGAGATGTGGCACGTAAACTCGATGTGTTGAAGGCATCATGACACCTGCCAAGAGAGCCCTTGATCCATAATTTGGACTTCTGCTTGGCTCTCTCCTTCTTTCACTCAGCCATCATTTATTATGCAGAAGTCCTATTCTCACACCACATCCTACTCCATTTGTAAATCAATGTGTTGATAGGCATTCTGCTTTATGTAATTAGACTTTAGCTAGTTTGCCTTGTATGTGTCAGTCCTCTGTGGTCTGATTAGTTGGGAATTTTTAGAAGCCATCATTCGACCTAAAAACAGAGGACCAGCTCTGAGACTGGAGACTCCACATGGTATTCAAGGAAGCCCTGCTTGGCTTGAGCCAGCTCTGTTCCCTGCAGAAATGCCTTCACTAAAGAGCCATTTATTATCTCCTTGGCTCTAACTGAAGACTAATATTAAAAATGCCATTTGAAGGAAAGATATTGTGGCTTTAAGAGTCTGAGGCCTGGGAATAGAAACATCCTTGCTTTGCCACTTAACAGCTGTGGTCCCGTTTGAATGTTAAACCCTCTGAGCCAGTTAAATGAGCCAATGTTAAATGCTCTCTGAGCCAGTTTTTTTCTTTTCTAAAGTATATAGTTGTGATTGGAATTAAATTAGATAAAAAATATATTCAGAGGAGTGCTGGCGCCTGTGTAAGTATGCTACCAAAAAGGGTAACTTTTATCATTAGTCATTAAAAAACATGTCAGTACCTTCAGTCATTGTCCACTATGGTAGTAAAAGTCTGTAACAGACAAGTGACCACATGACAGGCTGCTCTTAAGAAATCAGGGGCAGGGAAAGAAGTCTCTTGTAAAGAACTATCTATTTACTAGATGAGTAAACTTATCTTTACTCATTTAGGAGAAAATAGCAAAAATTTCTCTGCCCCCAAAATCCCAGAGCTTCTTGGGGAGTCTGAACCCCAAGCTGGACTTTGCTAAAAAATGGCATGAAGAAGCAGCTTCCCACGTCAGGGCTCTTCACCAAGGTTCAACCATGTCCCCAGCTCACTACAAGCCAAAGCTGGTGCTGAGTGACCAGTCACATGAGTGCCAGCGTGTTCAGGGATGTGCCAAGAGCTTTGGGAATGGAGTTACCCAAGGAACCAGCCCTAATCTTGGGGAGTCCCCAGTCTGAGAGGGGGTGCAGCCCTTGCCCTCAGGGAGACCCCAGTCTGATGGTGGAGACATAGTCCATGTCCTTAGAGAGTCTCTAGTGTGACTGGGGAGACAAATAAAAGTCCAAAACAGAATTTTATGTTTGGCCTTTTCTGCTAAGAAGTCCAGAACCAGATTCAACAATCCATGTGGGAACCATCACACCCTTTGAATATCGTTATCTCCTCCCTTTCTCTGTGTGACTTCTGATCATTGTAACTTCATTTAATAGTCATGCTGAACAAAAGTTTCTATCGTAATCTACTACATCACCCCCCTTTCTAAAAGTAGGAGCATAAAAAACTTAAAATTCTGGACAATTATGAACCACAGACAGTGGGGGGTGAGTTTGAGCCCCATGAGGACTGGGGAGCTTTGCTCCTCTAACAGGCCCACGCATCAGGCTGGCCGGCACAGGTTCCTCTGCCCAGGCCTGGGTCTAAGGTTGGACAGTCTTTGCGATACTTCGTCCAAAGGCAAATTCCCAACGGCCCCTCCCAAATCCCTTGTGTTGGGATTTCCAGAGGTGTGGCCTGGAAAGCCCTAAGCTTAACAAGGGCCCCCATATGATTCGTACCATCAGGGACGTTTGGGAAACACCAGGCCCACTTTTTCTCTGACGGTGGTGAGAGGACCATCAGGATCACCTAGAGGAGCTTATTTTATTTTATTTTATTGTGGGGGATGGTGGTGGTAATTAGTTTTATTTATTTATTTTTAGAAGATGTACTGGGGATTGAATCCAGGACCTCCTGCGTGCTAAGCATGCGCCCTACCACTTGAGCTATACCCTCCCCTCCAGAGGAGATTCTTAAAATGCAGATTCCTGGGCCCCCAGTAGGACCTATGAAATCAGGATTTCTGGGAGCAGGCCTTGGAATATGCATTTTTATGAGCACCCACAGTGATGCCTGTGGGCTAATGTTCACTTGCCAGCCCTTCTGCAGTGGGAGCTACGGGTCACTCTGGTCACGGTCCACTTTCGGTGGTGGGAGTGAGGGAGACGATTAAAATATAACGCCTTCTTCTATCCGCAGCCGAGCAGCACAGATGCCTCCACTTTACCGTAGAGTTCTCCTAAATTTGTAAGCACCACCTTCCTTTGGGGGCACTAAAGTTTGCTATCTCTTTGGTCCTTTGACACACTGGAGTCAAAGCCTAAGGGCCTTTGTTTCCAGATCTCCTCGGGCTCAGCTGTCCTGTTGCCCTGTCCCGTCAGTACACTCTGCTCCAGGGCCAGCTTTGGGCCCAAGTGACCTGGACCTGGGCCAGGCTGGCACAGCACAAAAGGTGTGGAAATCAGCCCCTCCTGGTTGATACGGTCCTACTTCTGGGACTGGCGCTAGTGACGGTCTTGATTTTAGCACCATCTTGGAAGACGAGGCAAAGTGTGCTTGGATCAGTCATAGCAAGTCATTGCAAGGGGGTCACATTTCGATGGAGGTTAGTCTGAACCGTCTACTTACCTGTACATCTTTATCAATCCGTCTGTCTGCCTACCGACCCAACATTCCAGAAATAGAAATATATAGTGTCTGACAATGCGCCAGACACATTAAGGGACTACAGGTGGGCGTACCTAGTTCCTCTCACATCCTTTCTGGCCAGAGATCAGGCAGCGACTGTGTATACATGGGTCTCTCACAGCACCTACATGGCTTCTGCCAGGCCTCGGATCCAGTCGGGCTGGAGTTGCAACCACCAGCAGATCATTCTGGGAAACATCATGGCCCTGAAGATTCTGCAGGAGGAGAAGGGAGGGCACATGCAGCTGCCTCTTCTCGACAGAGCTTCGGCTGTGGAAGTAGCACTCCTGGGGCAGGGAGAGGTATTCTGGAAAGGCAAAGTCATCGGCATCAACAATCTGTGCTTCTGGACTCAGCACAAATTCCTGGTGAAGGCCACCTCCTCTGGGTCCCCTGGCTTAAAACTGGCTGAAGAGCCTGAAATCAGATTCAGCCATTGTGCTGGACACCCTCAACTTGTACAGGCCTGGCTGAATGGGGCTCATCTGAATGAGAACTAGGACAGGTTGAAGAGAGTATTTAGATAGTATTCTATTTTTTTTTTCATTTTTTGTCTAACCAGTAAGACTAGAGACTCCCTAAGGATATGGACTATGTTTCCACCATCAGACTGGGGTCTCCCTGAGGGCAAGGGCTGCACCCCCTCTCAAACTGGGCATTCCCCAAGATTAGGGCTGGTTCCTTGGGTAACTCCATCCCCAAAGCTCTTGGCACATCCCTGAACACGCTGGCACTCACGTGACTGGTCACTCAGCACCAGCTCTGGGTTGTAGTGAGCTGGGGACATGGAGAGATCCTCCCTCGGTTGAACCTTGGTGAAGAGCCCTGACGTGGGAAGCTGCTTCTTCACGCCATTCTTCTGCAAAGTCCAGCTGGGGTTCAGACTCCCCAAGAAGCTCTGGGATTTCTGAGGCAGAGAAATTTGTGCTATTTTCTCCTGGATGAGGTACCGAGGTATCCAATGCTGCTTGCATTTAAGGGAGGCCACCCTAACCATCTCTGGGCTACTGCATTCAGAGCTGGTGGTCATGGTCATACTCAGCAGAGACTTGGGAGAGTCTGAGCCCTGGGTGGTGGATTCTGGGAAAGTTTCTATTGAGGTTAGAGGCTGGAAGAGAAAAACAGTCCAAAATGAGATTGTGGAAAGCAAAGTGCTCCTTTCCTATGTCATTCTTGATTAAAACAAACAGATGTAGAGCTGAGTTCATGAGCAGCCAGAAAGATTTCAGTTAGAACAGTTTCCTAACCATCAATTGGTTAAACAGTAGGGCAGAAGATGGTGGGGGGTGTCCACAGAGCTTCCTCTGGAGATTTTTAAACATGAGAGAGTTTTTAAACACTGGAGACTGGTAATCAGAGAAATAGGCAATATTTCATAGCTATTAGACTGGCAAAAATTAGAAAGCTGGATGTCAGCATTGGTGGGAGATACAGGGACTCTCATGCACTACTGATGAGACGGTAGGCTGGTCCAGCCATTCTGGTGAACCATCTAGAAATACTTGGTAAAATAAGACTACAAATATCCTGTGATCCAGCAATTCTGCTCCTAGCTGTACATACTAAATAAGTTATTAGATAGCCCCTTCAGAAAAAAACCTATGTACACCGATGTTCCCAGCAACATTATTCACAATAGTCAAAAGGTGGACACAACCCATCGATCCACCAACAAAGAAATGGATAAACAAAATGTGGTATATACACACATGGTATATTATTCAGCCTTAAAAAAGAAGAAAATTCTGATACATGCTACAACATGAATTAACTTTGAAAACATTATACTAAGTGAAATAAACCAGACACAAAAGTACAAATATTGTGTGATTCTATTTATATGAGGTACCTAGAGTGGTGATAGAAACAGAAAGTGAAACAGAGAGGAACAAAATAAGGCAGAAAAAATATTTGAAGTCAATGGCCAGGAACTCCTCAAATTTGTAGAAGACATCAATTTACAAAGCCAATAAGCTCAAGAATCCTAAATAGGATAAATACAAATAAAACTGCATCCAGACACATCATACTGCATTTCAAATTGCTAAAATTCAGAGATAAAGAGAGCAGCCAGAGAAAAACGATGTATTCCATACATGGGGCAATGACACAAATACAGCTGACTTCTCATTAAAGAAGAAAAAGAAGATCAGAAGATAATGAAACATTTTTAAACTACTGCAAGAAAAATGATAATGCAGAATTCTAGGTCCAACAAAAATCTCCTTCTAACTGAAGGCTAAATAAAGACATTTTCAGATAAACAAAAACATAAAATTCATCACCAGCACACAGATGTGCACTACAATAAATACTAATAATGTATGTTAGTATAAAAGAGCGGGTAAGTTTCCTATGTTTAAAATTAAGCACATTACCTCCAAGTAGATTCTGACAAACTGAAGATGAACACTGCAATCCATAGAACACCCCCCTCCAAAAGGCAAAAAGTTATAACTAAAAAGACAGTATTCACTTTTCTTACAAATATTCACTTTTCAATTAACCCAAAAGAAAGCAGAAAAGAAGAATCACAGGAAAAAAGCAAAAATAGAAGAAAAGAATAGATAATAAACAAAATTTCAGCCCTAAATTTAATCACATTAATAATTATATTAAATGAAAATGGAATAAACAGTCCAATTATAAGGCAGATGTTCTCATGCTGGATAAGAATGCAAGACCCACCTATGTCTGCGTATAAGAGGTATCTTTTACATATAATGAGAAAAATGAGGTGAAATTAAAGGGATTTTTTTAAAAAAAGATGTGATACCATGCAAACAGTAATCATAACCAGCTGGAGCAGTTATATGAATATTAAACAACACAGATTTTAGGGCAAGGAATATTACCTGGTACAAAGAAGATTTTATCATTTCATGATGATAAAAGGGTCACTACATCAAAAAGACAAAATTATAAATGTGTACCTAATAAAAGAGCTTTAAAATACATGAAACAAAAACCGATAGAACGAAAGGTAGAAATAAACAAATCCACAATTAGGGTTAAGATTTTAACATCCATTTCTCAGCAACTGGTATAAGAAATAGACCAAATCAGTCTGAAAATGGAAAATCTGAGTGACACTACCAACCAGCGTGATGTAAGTGACACATAGAACACGATATTCAGCAACCGTAGGATACACGTTCAAGTGCACATGGAACATTCATTAAGATAAATTATTTACCGGGCCATAAAACAAGTCTTGGTAAATTTTAAAACACTGACATTTTACAAAGTATTTGTACTAACCACAAAAGAATTAAATTAGAAACTGATAACAGTAAGATATCAAGGAAACCCCTAGATATTAAAAAATTAAACAACATACTTCTAGATCACCCACGGAACAAAAATGAAATCACAAGGAAATTAGAAAATATTTCAAACTGAGTGATAATAAAAATCCAACATATCAAAATTTGTGGTAGGCAGAAAAGCTAGTGTTTACAGGGAAATTTATAGTGCTAAACACTTATATTAGAAAGGAAGAAAGACTTAACATAAATAATCTAACTTTCCACTTTAAGAAGCTAGAAAAAAGTGATTGAATTAAATTAAAAGCTAACAGAAAAAAAAAGAAGTAATAAAGATAACACTGGGCCATCATGAAATGCAAAATAAACCACAGAGAAAATTAACAAAGGCTAAAATTGGTTCTTCCATAAGTAAAATTGATAAGCCTATAGTAAGATCAAGATAAAGAAAGAGGAAACACAAATTGCTTTTATCACCCATGGGATATCACCACGAATTGTGCATATATCAAAAAGATAAGAAAATTTAAAACGGCCAGAAGGAACAGTTTGGTTCTGGTTCTAGCTAAGATGGATTAAACATATTGCCACCTGTCTCTCCCACTGACTGTTCCTATAAAACCTGCACAGAATGCATGCGTAGAGAAGCTCTCTGACAATTCTGAAAAGTAAACAGTAGCAGGCAGACTGAAGAAGATGAAAATTCAAAGTACCAGCAAGTCAGCAGTGAGTTTATTGTTCTTCTTCCAGTATCCCCTGACCTGAACTCAAGCCAACTCAAAACTCCGGAGTGGGTACTGGAGAGCAGACAGAGAAAGCTCTAAGAGAAGCCCTATAGTTTTGGCTCAAAGATCTTTTTTTCTTTTCTTTTCTCCACTCTCTGTGCCCCCACGTCTGTGATCCTAGGTGGCGGCAGCAGTAGTAGCAACAGAATCAACAGCAGGACCTGGAAAGACCTAAAACTTCCTCTTTCAGTGGAGGAGCTGTCGTCCCAAGAGGATAGAATCATCTCCTAATATATTTTTTCCCTCTGTGACCTCCTGCCACTTGGCCCTGGAAGCAGGTATAGTCACAGGAAGTCACAGCAGAGCAGGGTAACTAAAGTCCCAGCTTTCAGGTGAGAACTCTCAAAAAGGGGGGCCAGGGAACCAGAAAGTACCAGGGAGCTTGTGGAGAGGAAGGAACTTGAGAAAATGACTCAATAAAGTAAATCATGAATTTCTGGGCTCTCGCATAAGCTGCCCATCTGTAACTCTGTCCTTAAACAGCTGACCTAAACCTTTAAGAACTGGACTAAGGGATGGATCCGATGGAAACTGGACCAATGGAAAAAGATCTACGAGGCAAACACTAATCAAAAGAAAGCTGGAGTGGCTCGATGAATATCAGATAAGGTAGACCTCAGAACAAAGAAACTGGAGTAAGAGAGATAGAGAGACATCACATAATGATAAAAGGGTCACTTTGCCAAGATGTAACAATCTTAAATGTGTATGTACCTAATGCCACATTTTCAAAATATACGAAGAAAAAGCTGCCAGAAATGAGAGGAGAAATAGACAAATTCACAATTATAGTTCGAGATTTAACATTTATCTCTCAGTAATTAATAAAGCTAGTACACAGAAGATTAACAAGGATATAGAAGAACTGAGCAACAAAATCAACCAAACAGATCTGACTGACCCTCTGCCCAACAGCAACAAAATACACATTCTTTTGAAGTGCACATAAAACATTCTCCAAAAGAGAACATATCCTGGATCATAACATAAACTTAAGTATATTTAAAAGAACTGAAATCGTATAAAGTATGTTCTCTGACCATATAGAATTAAAGCAGAAATCAGTAACAGGAAAATCTCCAAATAATTGAACATTAAACAATGCATTTCTAAATAAGTCATGGGTCATAAAGGAAATCTCAAGTGAAATTAGAAAATATTTTGGACTAAATGAAAATATAATATCAACATTTGTGGTATACAAATTTTGTGGCTCCTAGGAAGAAATTTATAGCATTAAATGTTTATATTAGGAAAGAAGGTATTAATCAACAATCTAAGCTTCCTCTTAAGCAACCAGGAAAAGAAAAGCACAATAATCCAAAGCAAACAGAAGATAAGTATTAATAAGGGCAGAAGTCAATGAAATAAAAAAGAAAAGAAAAGAAAAAAAGCCCATGAAACCAAAACCCAGATCTTTGAAAAGATCAGTAAACTGATAAACTCCTAGCAAAACTTACAAAGAAAAAAGAATAAACAAATTACCAATATCAGGAATGAAAGAGAGGGTATCACTATAAACTCTATATTAAAAGGATAATAAGCACAACATTGCAAAATGACTATAACTCAATAAAAAAAAAGTTAAAAAAATAAAATAATAAAATAAAAGGATAATAGGGAACTACTATAAACAACTCTTCACATATAAATCCAACCACTTAGATAAGATGGACCAATACCTCAAAAACCACAAACCACCAAAACTCACTAAAATAAAATACGTAATTATTAAAGACATTGAGTTTATAGTTTAAAATATTTCAAAAAAGAAATCTCCAGGCCAAGATCATTTCACTGGAGAACTCTAACAGAAGATTTAAATAATAGTGATAATCTTACACAATCTCTTCCAGAAAACAGAAGAGGAGGAAATATTTCTCAATTTATTTTTATAGAGTTAACATTATCCTGATATTAAAGACAGACCCCGAAAAATGTAAAAGAAGAAAAAACTATAAACCAACATCTCTTATGAATACAGGCATAAAAATTCTCAATAAAACATTAGCAAATTGAATTCAGCAATGTATAAAAAGAACAATTCACCATGGCTATGTGGGGTTTATTCCAGGAATATAAGACTGGTTCAAGTTCAAAAATTAATCAATGTAATCCATCATATTAACAGTCTAAAGTAGAAACATATATGATTCTATCAATTCATACCCAAAAAGCACTTGACAAAATTCAATATTAATTCATGACATAAAACACCTCTCAGTAAATCAGGAATAGAAGTGAACTTTTCAACCTGATAAAGGACATCTACAAAAATGCTACAGTTAATGCCATGCTTAATAATAAATGAATGACTATTTCCCCTTTAAGACTGGAAGCAGGGCAAGGATGTCTACTCTCCCCACTTCTATTCAACATAGTACTAGAAATCCTAGACAGGCAATAAGGCAAGAAAAAGAAACAAAAAGCATAAAGATTAGAAAGAAGGAAGTAAAACTGTTCTTATTAGAAGATGACATAATTCTTTGATGAAAATCCTAAAGAATCAATTACAAAAAAGCCTTACTCGAATGTATAAAGCACCTAAGCAATTCAATGAGAAAGGAAAGTCTTTCAATAAATAGTGTCGTAACTAGACGTGCATATGGGGAGAAAAAAACGCTGGTGCCCATCACTTAGTGTACTCAAAAATCAACTTGATATGGATCATGGACTGCTACATAAAGCTAAAGCTATGAAGTTTTTAGAAAAACCCTAGGAGAATATCTTTGCCTAACATTCATGAGGTACTGGGGATTGAACTCAGTACCTCCATTAAAAAAAATTTTTTAATAATAAATTTTAACAAAATTCTTAGTACATAGAAAGCAATGACTATAAAAGAAAAATTGATAAACTTCATCAAAATTGACAATTTTTCACTAATCAAAGGGCATTATTAAGAAAAATAGGCAAGTTTCCAGACCATACAAAGAATTCCTACAATGTAATGGTAAAGACACAAATAATCCTGTTTTTTAAAGGGAGGGAGGCAAAAACTTGAACAGACTCTCCACAAGGAAACATACATGAATGACCAATAAGCAACTGACAAAGTGCTTGGCATGCTTAATCATCAGGGAAATGCAAATTAAAACCACGGTGAGAAATCATAACATAGCCATTAAAGTGGCTAAAATTTAAAAGACAGGTAACACCAAATGTTGACAAACATGAGGCAATTGGAACTCTCATTGATTGTTGACTGAAATGTACAAATGATACATTCACTTTAAATACAGACTTTGGAGTTGCTTATAAAGTTATACATAGATCTACCCTTTGACCTGCAGTCCTCCTAGGTAGCTATCCAAGAGAAATGAGAACTATATCCATGAAAAGTCTTGTACACAATGTTCACAATAGAAATAAAAGAATAAAAACTGGGGACAACCCAAAAGTCCATCAACAGGAGAATGAAAAACAAACTGCACTCTATTTGTACAATGGAACACAATTCAGCAATAAATAAGAACAAACTACTGATATACCCAACAACATGAATAATTTCATAGATATAATACTGAATTAAGGCAGTCAGACACAAAAGAATATATACTATATTATTGCATTTACAGGAAATTCTAGACTAGGCAAAACTAAGGTGAAAAAAGTCAGAGTCAGGATAGTGGATGCCTCAGGGAGGGATGCAGGGAGCAGGAGGGCAATTGCCTGGGAAAGGGCAGGAGGGAATTTCAGGGAAATATCAGAAAGTTTTATATCATGATAGGGATATGAGTTACACAGGTGTATTTATTTGTCAGAACAGTACAGTTAAGATTTGAGCATTTTAATGCATGTAAACTTAATCTTTAAAAAAAAAAAAAGGCAGGGCTCAGTAAAGAAAAAACACCAAATGGGAATAATCCAATCATATGTAAATAAATTTTAAATGCATGCATTTAAAAAATCCCTTCTTTTCAAGGAAATATACCAACAAAAGGTGCTGGATGAGAGAATGGGAGGTGACCATAGAGATAAAGTGACAAGGAAATAAAACAGGCAAAGCCTTGAATGAATCAAGTATGATACAGTAACCTGAACCAATGATTCTGATGAAATCAAACCTATGCACACGAAATCCAAAAAAGGAAAAAAAAATTGACAGTTGCTGCCTTATTTTTTAAAAAAAAATCTCTTTACAGTTGAGTTGTAGTGCTTTAAGTCTTAAGTTAAAGCACTGCTTTAATTCTTAGATGAATGAAAAAAGACCATGGACAGTCTTAATAAGTAGCAGTAATATCAAAATAATAGCTAATGCTTATAGTCTCCTGTGTGTTGAGCACCCCTCTAAGTAAGCATTTTCATGGATCCTTTCATTTAATCCTCACAGTAATCCAACATTGTGAAAATTGTTTTCTCAGATGGGGAAACTGGGGCTTAGGGCAATCAGAGTGACTAGATGGAAGTCATATATATAATAAAAGGAGATCCCAGGATCTAAACAGAGGCAGACAGATTCTGCAAAGCATACGCTCTACTCTTTTTAAATTATTATTATTATGTTAAAAAATCACATAACATAAAATTTACCATCCTGACCATTTTTAAGTGCACGGTAAAGTAGTGTTAACCATCTGCACACTGTTGTGCAGCAGATCTCTAGAATCTTTTTAACCTGCAAAACTGAAACTCTGCACCCATTAAACATCCCTTTTTTTGCCTCCCCACAGCCCCTGGCAACTGCCATCCTGCTTTTTGTTCCTGAGACTTTGACTACTCTAAATGCCTCATGCAGGTGAAATCACGTACTATTTGCCTTTGCGTGACTGGCTAATTTCACTTTGGAGAAATGTCTATTTAAGCCTTTGCCCATTTGTCAGTCGCCTTATTTGGTTTCGTTGTTGTCACGAGTCGTAAGAGTTCTTTCCCTGTTCTGGACATTAAGCCCTTATCAGATATATGGTTTGCAAATATTTTCTCTCATTCCACAGGTTGCCTTTTCATTTTGTCGATTGTTTCAGTTGGATGTAGTCCCACTTGTCCATTTTTGCATTTGTTGCCTGTGCTTTTGGTGTCCTATCCAAAAAAATCCATTGCCAAATCCAAATGTGATGAAGCAAACACGCTTAAAGGTGTTTATCAAACTACAGGTTGCAAACCTACTAGTAGGTCAAGAAATTAATTCAGTGGTTTGTAACTGGTATTTTTAAAAGAATAGAATGAGTCACTATCTGTAGCATGTCTAAGCATTGTTTTAGAAACTTTTTTCCTGTTGTGTGTGTATGTGATGGACAGTGAAATAAAATGGATTTCTACTATGGTCTGAGGTTAGAAATTTGGAAAACATTGCACTACTTTATTCTGTACTTGGAATAAGCAAAGGCCTGACAATGCAGAAGTTTTCCCAGTAATTACAATAGAATTATCACATAGTTCATACTTAGGAGGGCCTAAGTATGATGAATACAAAAAAATCTGTGCTGTCAGTACCACGTTCACGTGGCAATTTCATTTCTACAAAAACAGAAAATCAACTGTCAAATTAAAATTTTTGTGCGAATTTTATTGGTGCTATTTATTTGCTTTTGTTTTATAGTTCCATAAGAGCTATAGGTATAAAGATTTCATATCTGGTTTTATGCTTGTAAATATTTATAAAAATAATGTAAGTCTACAATTGGAATTTGAAAGATTTCCTTTCCTTCAAAAGGTGTCCGTTAAACAACAAGGTCCTACTACATAGCACAGGGAACTATATTCAATACCTTGTAATGGCCTATAATGAGAAAGAATATGAAAAGGAATATATGTATGTATAAATGAATCACTACGCTGTGCACCAGAAATTAATACAACATTGTAAATTGACTATACTTCAATAAAAAAATAGATTTTTTAAAAAGGTGTCCATATATCAATGGAATTTGAGAAACACAGATTAGGTGATGTACTGGGTTCAGCAATGCCCCCCAACCCACAATTCATGTACACCCACAACCTCAGAATGTGACCTTATTTGGAAATAGGATCTTTGTAGATCTCCAGACAAAATATGCTCACATCGGTTTAGGGTGAGCACTAAATCCAGTGACTGGTGTCCTTATAAAGCCGTGTGAAGACACACAGAGGAGAAGCACAAGGAAGAAGTCCATGTGCTGACAGAGGCAGAGATTGGAGTCACGCTGCCACAAGCCAAGGGATGCCAAGGACTGCCAGCACCCACTGGAGTCTAGCAAGAAGCAAAGAAAGATCCTTTCTAGAGAGACGTCTTATGGAGCGTAGCCCTGCCCACCTCTAGCCTCCAGAACTGTGAAAGAATAAATTTGTATTTTAAGCCACCAAGTTTATGGTAATTTACAGGTATGCCATTCCACAACTTGGGCTCCACAAGTGGCAAAATTGAGGCCCAGAGAGGTTAAGCGCTTATTCAAAGGCCCACAGCAGGTCAGGGGCAGAGAAGCGACCAGAAAGAAGACTCCTACTGCTGCCTCCCAAGCTCGGTCCTCAGGGGAGGCAGGCTGCTCCACTCACCACAGGGCTGGCGATTGTGTCCACCGCAGAGGCCGACTTGGCTTCCTTGATTCCGGAGGTGGCTTTATTGAGCTCTGGCCTGGAGCAGTCAAGAAGGCTTGAATTCCTCAAGGCAGGTACTGAGCTGTAAGGCCTAGCAGGAGCAGGGCCAGCCTCCTTCTTGGGGGCCTCTTGGTCGAGGCTGCTGTCTGGCTCACTTTTCTTTGCGTCTCTAACACTCGAGAGCAAATCAGGTGCGCAGAACACCAATGTCAATGGCTGGACGTACTAGGAAGGAGGGAACCAAACACACAGCCCATGGGAACCCAGCTCTGTCCACTTCCAGATTCATCTGCACCCAAGAGAAGGTGCAAAGGAGATGAGGAGAGGGAAGCATTCAGAATCAAAATCTCTCCAATGGGGGGGGGCTCTTAACCGGGGGGTTCAAGGACCCCTAGAGGGCTCCTGGACGGCTTCATGGGGCCTTCAAACCATTTAAAATTGCAGTTTTTAAATTGTATCTTTGTATACTTTATGGCAAGAGATTCTATAGCTATTATCAGATTCTCAAAGGGTTTGTGACCCTAAGAAAGTTATTTTAAAAAGAAAAAGGAAAGAAAAAAGAAAAGAAAAGAAACTGGCCCAATCCTGTCCCTTCAAGTAAGACTTTGAGAAAAAGGAGACAGACTGAAAAATCAACCGAATCCTTCCACGGAGCCGGAAGAGAGAGGTAGGCAGAGAAGGGGGACTCCAAAGATTCAGATCATAGGACAACTGGACAGCTGGCCCCCCATCTGGGGGCTGGTCCCCACTTTGAGCAGAGAGCGGACCGGAAGGACCCAGCTGTGTTCCATCACCCGTGTCATGTTCTGAGGTCCCGCCTCCCAGAAGTTTTCCCTATGGCTTCCTCTCTCAGCTGTGCCCCTGGCCTGCTGGAGGGGAGCATCCAACCCAAACTGGAGTTGGGGACCATGAGTACGGCTGGTCCAGAGCCTGCTCCCTACATGGGGATCGTGCTCAGCCTCCCAGCTGCTTTTACTCCTACTGGAGGAAGAAGGATGGGCCAGTGAGAGTCTTCTTGGCCTGGATGGAGGGGTTGTCTGAAGGATGCCATGCTCCTTGTAACTTCCGGGCTCCCCTCCCGCGTCCCAGCCCTCCATGTGGCCCCATTCCTTCAGTGTGTCTGGGCTCTGAGGAGTGGTCTCCTCAGCACTCCACTCTGGACTGGCCCCAGCTGGGGAAGGGTGCTGGACATGCGTGCTCCCCTCCCATCCACGTTTACTTGTTTGAAGGTGTGAGTGGTGGCGGGCTTGCATTTCTGCCGTTGTTTCTGTCCCCAGCTCCGCATGCTCTTGCCTCTCCCTTGCTCGCCTGCTGATTCCCCCTGCATCTCTACCTTCTTCTCCTTCGTTTGGAAGGATTTCTTCTCCTGTTTTAGCCTCAGCTCCTGGATCAGCTGCCTGCCCATTGAGGAACATGAGTGTCATGCAGGTTAGGGATGGGCTGTGAATGCGGACACTCTCCTTGAGGGCTGGACAAGACTGGGCAAAGGAGGGGAGTGCTCCATCTTCCCTGCCCCAGTGTGTCCAGTGTGCACAAATGATTGAGGGTCCCAGAGCAGGAGGCAGAGAAGAGACTCTTCCCTCCACCACACCGTTCCCAGTCTGGGACAAGCACCAAGGAGAGATGTGTGGTGGGGGCCTCCACCCCACTCTGCCACACCCCATCTCTCTCCCCACTTCCCAGGAGGCCAGATCCCACAGCTGGCAGGTGCTGGGAACAGGGTCTGAGGAGGATGCTTAAGTCAGGGGCTCCTGTGGACCCCTTCATATGCTGGGCCTCTCTGGTCAGTGATGGGATGGAAATAACTCAGTCACATGAGCTGGGAATCTGGGTTCCAGTCCCTCTTCTGTCATTATCTGCTACATGACCCTTTTTCTGCTCTGACCCCCCCTCCCACAAAATGATGTGGCACGTGGGGACTGGACTGGATGGGATGAGGCCCTTCCACGCCATAGATTTGACACCTACATGAATCCAGGAGGGAGCTCTGAGGGGCTGGACATTCTGGAGTGGGGTGGGGGTGCCTGTTTCAGGGGTGAGTTTCTAGAAACATCCACATATCTACTTAACAATTCCCCAGCAGGTCCAGCACAGTCCCCTCTTCCCCCGGAGCCCTGGCCCCTCACTCCAGGAGCCTTCCTACCGCGCGTACACCTCCCGAGCCCTGGAGGTGACAGTGTTCTGGAAGAGGGAGTTGTTGTCCTGGAAAAAACTTCTCGTACTTCTGTGAGTTCACGCTGGGATAAATCAGGCGGAACCCTCCACAGTTTTCCATCTCATACTTCTCAGTTTTCTCTAGACGCACGGCCTGAAAACCCTTGACTTCCTCCATCCTGTTGGGAAGCAGAACACAGGGCTGCAGTTAGGTTTTCTTGGGACCAAACTTGGAAAGGACGTGGCCGGGCAGGATGTTGTCTTGAGCCAGACAGAGGCCTTGCACACAACAGAGGTCAGTCAGCATTTCCCAAGCAAATGCACGAACGTTTCCCTGAAAGGAGATTCTAGCCCTCCCGGGACAGCCAGTGTCATAATGCATTAAGAGCTGGTTAGAACCGTCTTCCTGACAGCTCACCAAATTCCCTCTCGTTACAAGTAAACTCCATCTCCCGCTTGCCTTGGTCCTGACGAGGCAGACTTTCGCCACCTTTCCAATCACAGCCCCCGTTACCCTTCTCTGGAGAACAGCAGCTAGTGTTTAGCTAAATTTGAGGGCTTCTTGGATGAGCTTAATGAGCTTTTATGAGCTGTGATGATCTCATTCTTCCTCACAGCCCCCAGGGGAGGTCAGGGAGGGAGAAACCTTAAGCTCCCTTTACAGCAAGGAAATCAAGAGCCACTGAGCCGTCCAGAGCCAAGTCACGATGAGGAGACTGATTCAGAGGAGGGTCCTGGCCACTTCTGAGCTGTCTCCTTCTCAGGAGTTTAATGGACAGTGTCCTGGAACCCCAGGTGGCCCATCCACCGAGCTCTGGGTCCAGACTCGCTGCTTACCAGCGAGGTGACCAGTACGAGGCAGTTCCCCTTTTGGAGTCTTGGTCTCCTTAGCTCCAAAAACAGGACCATACAACACCCCATGCTACCTACCACCTCCACACCCTGTACAGGGAAGACGGTGCCCATGAGAACACGCTGAGAAACAGTGTCATCCAAACAGAGATGTCACTGCCCCAGTTCCAGAAGCTCAGTCTCAAAGGATCACTTTGATCCCAAAGGATCACTGCGGCCCTCGCCCTCCTCAGGGGCAGGGGCCGCAGTGGGATCTGAAATGCAACAAAGGGATCTCCTGGACCAGGCTCCGAGTCTTCAGAGGCAATTGCCCTGTGGAGGAAGACCCCTGTTAAAAGGCAAATGCTACCCAGCTGGGAGCAGGGCTCCCACCAACACAGTGACATGGGGAAGATGGGCAAATCTTCCTTTTTGTAAAGATAAAGGAATGGTTTTACTTTTTGTGTTGGTAATCCCTGAATCTTCATGTGATATTAATCAGCTCACATCCATCACATATACTTATGTCAATAAATAAATCTATTGTTAAGAACCAAGGAATTTTCACAGTAAAACTTGTCCAACTGCCACGTCCTGCAAATATAAATTCATTTCCAAATCGGATTATCCTCTGTTAGGACTGACCCACTACTGTACCTGGTCTCCCGCGAACGACACTGCTGCAGGAACCGCCCCCGTTGCCTCTCCTCCTCCAAGACTTTCTTTTTGTCACAGCTTCTCAGGTTGATCAGGACCAGCGTGTCATACAGCAGACTGTCCTTTACCTCTTTATCCAACCAGGAGTCAGTGGAGAAGCTCGGAGAGTGGTTGACCTGTGAGGGCAAGACGGCAGCTGGGGCTGGCCGGCCAGGGTGGAAGCAGGGAGTGAGGCAAAATGCCCCCTCCGGGAAGCCACCCACGCCCACCTTGGGGCCCTGGCTACCACGATGAGCGAAGGAAGAGGAAGAGACGGTCTGAACTAGAGCCACGGTGAAGAAAGGAGAAAGCGGAAGCCCCTCCAATTTAACTAGCTTTTATTTCAGTCTTATCTTCCTGAGAAGCACGGGGTGGGGGGTTTGCCCTTGGTTTCCCCTCCATCTGGTGTCCGTGTGCCCCCTCACATGCACTGGGCATCCCAGAGAGCAGATGGAAGGAGACAGTCCAAAGGGCCCGGCTGGGAGGGAGGGAGGGGAAAGGAGCGATGCATTCAGGATCCCAAAGGGGGAGGAGGGGAGACAGGCCGGAGGAGGGAGGGGAGGCATTCCTGCTCACAGAAGAGTCTGTATTGTTCACAGGCTCTATGTGACATATGAAGATTTCTAGAAGTTTCGGAAGGCTTGCTCCCAGTGGCTTATTCTACTCTTTGGGTAAGAGCTCCAAACAGCCATACACTCCTGCCCACCCACACTGGGTAACAAGGGCTGGGAATGGAGGAAAGGCAGGGCCCCGGGACTCTGGTCTATAATTCCGGGTCCTCCGCTCTGAGGGCTGACTCTGTGTCACTGGCAGCTGTCACGAGCTCCTCAGATGTGCACCTCAGCCCCATCCCCATCCCCGCTCCTGTGTGTGTACTGAATGGTCCAATCAGGAAGAGAGGTGGCCACCCAGAAGTTTCTATTCCTCTTCTTCCCACCACCCCACGGGTCTGGGGGAGGCAGGAAATTCACGTCCCCGTGCCCACAGACACTGGGCTGCTCTCTGTTGCTGCTCGGAACTGAGTGGTCCAGGCCCCTGAAAGCCAGACCTGCAGTTCCCACCTGATCACGAACATCCTCCACCCAGTTTTGGTGAAGAACAACTCCTGCTATAAAAGATAGAGCTGTCTTCAGAATTACTCTGTGCCTGAGAGCAGAGCTTCCGAGTCTGGGTGGACCTCCAGAAGGCGCCAGGAATTCTCGAATTCCCGGCCGTCTACCTCCCTCTGGTGGCCACTTTTCAGCGAAGGGAGAAGCCCCAGGCAGCAACACCGCGGCAGGCGATGGCTGTTGAAGTGGATTACCAACCTAGCTGAGCCAGGAGGGCGGAGGGACGGCCCCGACTGGCCGAGACCGCAGTGACAGGGGCCAGTTTCACCCCTCGCCCCAACCTCCCTACCTCCAGCAGCCAGGGCTTGAGTTTGTGATCCAACAAAATGTCGAAGCCCAGGATTTCAAAGCAGGCACTGTTGAGCGTGTGGCTGGGGAAGCAGGTGTGGTAGTTATGCTTGATGACGGGGTGGGCTGAGATGATGGTCTTGACGATGACGTCCTCGATATCCCTCCATATCTGCTCCACATTGTAGCCGTGGCTCTGCATGTACGCGTTGAAGGTGGAGAGCTTCCTGGAAGGGAACCATGAGCCATGAGGCAGGGCAGCCGACCTCTGGTCATCTAAGGCCATGGCATGCAGGAAACCAGAAACTTCTGGAGGAGATAAGCCTCTGAAGCCAGTGGGGAGGAACACCCAGGAGCCAGGGTGATCCCAGGGCTGTGTCAGCTCAGGAGGGTCCTGCAGGAGCCACAGGGCTACATGCCTCAAACCTCCACAGGCCTGGAGTGGGCAGTTATCATGATATGGGAATACACTTTCACTGTGACCCAGAAAACACCCGGGGGCTGGGGCAAGGATTGGGTCTCCTGGATGGATGAATTCAAAAGCTGAAAAACAGAGGGAAGGTGTAGCTCAAGCGGTAGAGCGCATGCTTAGCATGCAGGAGGTCCTGGGTTCAATCCCCACTACCTTCTTTAAAAATAAATAAATAAACCAAATTACCTCTCCCCCCAAATAATCAATTAAATAATTAAAAAACAACATCCTACATCATGATCTTGCTTTGGTGGCAATGGTTTCTCGGCCTTTGGTGTTCATCAGAAACACATAAGGAGCCTTTAAGAACATGGATATCTGGTTTCCACCTCAGCCATCTGAGGGGATCCTGGGGACGCTAAAGACACAGCGATTTTGTTTTAGGGCTGCCTGTAGGGAAAAGGCAACCTCAGGGCATTTCCAGAGAGAGTTACCACATGTCCCAGGCCAACCAGACAGTCTGAGTTTAGAACTGGAAGTCTCATATCCCAGGAAACCCCTCAGTCGCAGGCAAACCAAGATGGCTGGTCACCCTGTCACAGCGATCGGAGGATATCTACCCCACGTGGGGAGGTTCGTGAGGAAACATCTGAAGGAATGCACACCAGTCAGCTCTGGGCTGGGCAGTACAGAGACGGGGCAAATCTGACAGGTCCAAGAGGCAATGGCAGGGACAGACAGCCACCTGCTCCCGTGCACACACGCATGCACTGAGAGCCCAAGTGGAAAGTGGAAATATTGGAGGAGGAAATATGGGCAATGCAGGGGAATGAAGAGCAAAGAGAAGAATGAGAAGACCAGAATCATGGCTCACTCAGGCGGTTCAAAGTACTCCTGGGATCCCAGTCAATGGAGCCAGTGTACATTTGCTAAGGGCCTGCTGTGCGTGTAAAATTCATGCACTGGCGGATCCCAAGAAACCAGTACCTTTGTCCTACAGACCATTTGAGGAGTCAGCACACATATGAAACAACCAAAGATGCTTTCACAGAAAGACAGATAAACAGACAGGCCACTCAATCACGAGCCAAACCTTTTCTACCTACCCCTGTCAGGGAAAGGAGTGTTGCACATACTGAATTTTCCAGATGGCTTGAAGCCAATCCATTTAAATGCAAAAAAAAATGTGTTTAATTTGCCAAACTGGGAAATAAATTTTCCCAAAATAGATTATACATGCCTCTGCCTTCTTACAACAGACATTATGAATCATCACATAACCACTTCTTGATGACTCAAGCACATCACAATGAATACACATTATTGTATAATTTCATAATGCCCAGAGGTGAGCCACTTCAATTTCACCCACCAGCTATGTGCCAGGTACCCTGAAAAATGATGAGGACCCAGTCTCTGCTCCAGAGGCTTGCCAGGTTTCTAGTTTTTCTGTCTTCTTCTCTGCTCCTACTTAAGTTTGCAGCCTGGTGGGGATTTACTGGGAGTGCAGTTGGACTCAAGCTGGGGAGGGGGGATGTAGGGGTAGGTGAGCAGTCAGTGTGAGAAGCAGATTGTCTCAAAAGATGGGGAAGAGGAAGACGAGAAAAAGTGAAAACAAAAGGGAGGGAGAGAAGGACTCTGCCCAGTGACATGGGAAGCACCCAGAAGTCCAGGGCACCAACTTAAGTACGATTAGGACTACAAGGCAAACAGGTGCATCAAACAAAGAGCGCTTATGGGCTACGGCTCATAGTGACCATAGGGTGGTGGGACTCCAGAGATGAAAAGGTTGCTGCGGGTGGTTAGACTCAGATTCCACAGGCTTGTCCTGAGAGGTGGAAGCCAATCCTCTCATCTGATAGGTGAGGAAACAGGCCCACAGAGAAGATGGATTTCACCCACACTGCAGTGGTTATGTAGCTGGACCAGAACCTAGGTCAGAGAAGGCAACACGGAAGCTTAGTGAGACAGAAGGGCCTTCAAGGATGTTCCCCCATGTTTTTGGTTGGAGCTGAGCAAAGGCAGAGAGACAGGAATGAGCCAGGCCTGGGTGTCGAATGTGAACAAAAGAGGGTCCTGGTGGAACACCATGGAGCGAGTGGCACAGCAGCGTTACCTAGTGGTTAAGGACACGGACTCGGGAGTTAATTTCACCTCTACCGCTTCCTAGTTGTGCGACCTCGGGCAAGTTACTTACCCTTTTCCACCTGTTTCCTAATATGCAAAATCAAGATGATTGTAATCATGCCTACTTTATAGCATCATTGTAAGGATTAAATGAGTTAAGGTATATAAATTTCTCAGAGTAGTGCCTGGCAGATAGCAAGTGCTCAACAGATAAAATGCTGACTATTGGTGTAGCAGCAATAATGGTGGGAAATGGGGTCTGGTCAAAGCATAGTAGATTGAGCAGAGGAATTTGAACTTGATGCTCTGGGAACCACACTGGTTAGCTGAGAGTGGAAGTACTAAGTATATAGAATCCACAATAATAAAAGCACCCACTTGGATGGGGGCGATTGTTTTTCAAGCCCATTCATACATATCATCTCAGTAGGTCCTGATGGCATATCTGGGAGGCTGGCCAGCCAGTATTCATTTTCCTGTGTCATTTTCGAGGTGAGAACATGGAGGTACAGAGAGGTCAGGCAGAGATGCCTGGAGCAAGGGAGAAAAGCAAGGAGGCTGATGCCGCTGTCCAGTCTGAGGCTGAAGCAGGGTCCGGGGCTGGTGGAAAGGAAGGGATGAAGGGACATTTGAAGGAGGAAACTTCAGGATTTAGTGACTTGCTGGAAAAGGAACCATCCAACATGACACCAAGCTCTCTCCTCCTGCAGGTTAGAAGGCGGAGAGGGGGACGTTTGGGGTGGAAGTGAGGAGAGAGAACAGATGACAGTGGGAAAGGCTGAGCTGGAAGCAACCGGGAGACGCCCAGGCAGAGCTGAGGAGAGATGGGCCTGGAGCTCAGGCAGGCAGCACAGAGCAGGGATGGCGAGGCCAGGCCTGGCTGAGAGGCTAGGAGAAGAAAGAGGAAGGAGGGAGGGGGAATGAGGGCAGCAGAACAATACTCCCCAGGCTCAGCTCAGTCCTGGCATCACGGAATAACACCAACACAGCCTGAGGGCCCAAAGCCTGTTGGTGGGATGTCCGTTCTCACAAGAGGAGGGAAACGCAGGCCCTTAAATTACATGCCCTTAGACCAAGGAAAAATCACAGTAACTGTGACCACTGTCCACGCTGCAACCATAGGCCACTGGAGTCTCAGTGACCCTGTGAGGTGGTCAGGGTAGGGCATCTCATCGCGCTCATCTTACAGACCAAGAACTGGAGGCTGAGAGAGGTGAAGGGACTTGCTCAAGCTTACTGGGCTGGGGAGAGTCAGAGCTGGGACCGGAAGCTGGGCCTCATGAGCACTGAGCAGGGATGCTCCATGTGCAGCAGTGCAGGAGGCTCCGCCAGCGCCCGCAGCACGGGTGGGAGGAGAGGGGGTGGGCGAGCTGCGGTTGAGACGGGTGTCCGGCGCCCTCCAAAAAGGCGCGATCACCACCTCCCAGCCCAACACGTCCACTCCCAGGAGGTTTAACCTAGTGATTTTCCATTTGCTTCTTGGAACTCTGCCACCAAGGGAGTCGTGAAATTTCATGTGCTTCTCTGATGCTCTGAAGCCAAACAGATTGCCTGTTTATCCATCCTTTGAAGTCTGATGCGGGGGAGAGAGCATGCGCCTTGGGCTCTGACGGACCTACCTTCTCAGCCAGCTCTAACATTCACAGTGTGTGACCTTGGCAACTTATCTAACCTCTCAGAGGCCCAGTCTCCTCGTCTGGAAAATGGAGATGGCATCTAACTCATAGTTGCCTACCGATGTCTCTGCCACAGTGTTGTGAAAATTCAATAAAAACAAAAAATGCACACAAAGTGCCAGCATGGGCCCCAACACACAGGCCTCCATAAATCCTTCCTTGCCCTCCCACTTTGGCCTGGTCACTTTCACATTCTTCAGTCCCCCTTTTCCTTGAGACTCAAATGAGACAGGATAGCCGATAAAGGGAATATAAGATCCACTTGGGAAGAGACTCATGCATTCCTCTCATTTTTTCCCCCTTCTTCCAGCCAGCCAGCCACATGTCATGTCACACCAGGGCACTGTGACACATTATTTGAGAATCTCTGCTGGAGCAACACCCCAGGGAACCACAGGCCAAGGATCTACTGACAGGTGGGTCCTCCTCCAGTGGCAGATCAGCAATCAATGATTACCTGCTGGTCTGGAAATGTCAGAAGGGCCAACTGTAATAAGAGTATATATTGGTGGTGGGGAAGGGTATAACTGAGTGGGTAGAGTGTGTGCTTAGCATGCACGAGGGCCTGGGTTCAATCTCTAGTACATCCATGAAAGATAAATAAATTTTTAAAAACCCAATCACCCCCTCAATAAAATAAAATAAAATAAAATAAAATAAAATATTTTAAAAAGAGTATGTTTGTGTGTGTGTGTGTGTCCGTCCTGCTGGGGAAACAATTCACGTTTATCTCTCCTCCTCCCAACCTCCTAGGGTTTATGATGTGGGCCTTCTTTTAATGATTAACGGCCAGAGGGCAGAGACTAAGGAGTCTGTTCTGGATTTAGAGGCAAAGAAAATTTTTCTGAGACCATGTGACCCAAGAAGGAAACACTGATGGGTCTGAGGAGAATCTCAGAGAGCAGCTCTGAGACTGGCAGGGAAAGAAAAGAGAAGTGAAGCCACGTCCTTACCTCTTGCTGCCAGAGTGAGCATCTTGAAGGAAATTGGAACTGTGCTTATTAATGGAATAATTAGTCAGGTGCATGCAGATATCGTTCTGGGGAAAGAGACACAAGTCGGTGGGGTCAGGGGGAAGGGCAGGCCTCCCTCTTCCCCTCTGCGCCCCTCCCCAGCCCCCAGGGGTTGAAGAGACGGAAAAGAAAGGTGAAGTCTTGGGGCTTACGTAGACTGGCAAAAGACGGAATAATTAGAAGAAGTAAGAAGGGGAATCCTACCGCCTGGAGAATAAGAAACTCCACCTCCTCCTGAGACTTCAGGAGCCCTAAGGTGGGGGTGGGGGAGGTGGGCGGAGAGCTGGGGGCTCGCCCACCGCCTTCCTTCCTTAAGCATCGCAGTATCGTGGCTTTGCAGTCAGGCAGACCTGACCACCAGTCCCACGCTCCCCTCTTCCTAGTTCTGTGGCCATGGACAAGTCCCTTGTAATCGTCTGGATTTTAATTTCCTCCTCTGTAAAATGGAGATGATAATCCCTATTCCTGAGGGCTCTTGGAAGGGCTAAATGAAAGAACAACCTGGCACATAGTGAACATTCAGCAAATGACAGGCATCGCCACCATGCCTTGAGAATGTAGATTTATCTAGGATATTTTTTTTATCAGCGAGGGGAGGCGGGGAAGGTGGTGTGTCCCTCAGCTCACCAGGTTGTCTGTGCAGGGATGGGAGTAAAAGGTGGTGGCGAAGCGGGCCAGGCCTTCATTGTACGCAAAAATCCTGAGAGGGTCACAGGATGTCATGAGCACATAAATCCGTAGGTCAAACTTGAACCCATCAATGATAAAGGGCTGGGAAGAGAGGAAAGTCACACAGTGTCAGAGGAGACACGCAGACTTGCAGATCTCAGCGCCCCATCTTGTTTTGGTGGAGTCAGCTCCAACGATGCCTGGGTTACCGAGTGTGGGTTGGGCCAGGGTCGGGGAGGGGGACAAGGGGATTTGGGCTCCATGACCCACTATGTGACCTTGCGAAAGTCACTAAACCACACTGGGACTCAGTTTCCTGATCTGTCAAATGGCATGAGTAACCACCTCCAAGAGCTCTCCTGGCAACGAAACAAAATCACATGAAAAAGTCCAGTGATAAGGGGAGGGTATAGCTCAAGTGGTAGAGTGCATACTTAGCATGCACAAGGTCCTGGGCTCAATCCCCAGCCCCTCCTCTAAAAATAAATAGACCTAATTACTCCCCCCACAAAAAATAAATTAAATTAAAAAAAAGTCCTATGATGAAGGTCATGCTGTCACCACCCATGGCTGTGCTACTGTCACGCTTCTGCCAGAGTTCTCCCTGCAGCTGCAACCCTGACCCCAGTGCCGGCCAGGCCTCCCTCCCATGCACCTTCTGGAGGGTCCCCTCCCTGCAGTGGGCTATACCCCTGGCCGTGGAGGAAAGCTGTTTGCCATCGTCTCTGAAGGGCCATCCCCTCTCTCAAGCAAGGTAGGGCGTCCACAGACCAAAGGTGCTCTCCCAGCTGCCATCTGTTAGAGGCAAAGAGCCAGCCTGGCAGGGCCAGACCCCCTGACAAGGCTACAAGGGCAGGGGTGCCCCGGCCCAGGTACTCATCACAGCTCTGGTCAGAGGGCCAGGTCTGACAAAGTCCAAGGCAGGAGACAGGACTCAGCTGCGCCCTCACCCAGCCCTCCCTTCCCTCATTTCACAATCGGTCCAGGGGAGCTACAGGGGCTGTGGATGATAAATAAATAATCACCACAAGGCAGTACCTTTGAAATATAGAGTTGACAGATCATATCCTCCCCTGGTTTGATTTCTTTCACTGTCTGGGTGATGAATATGCCTCTCCCCTGGCAGCCCGAATCTGGCTTGCAGATGTATGTCTTGTTTTTTCTTGACCTGCTGTAGTTCTGCAAATCTCCCCAGCTACCAGAGCAGGGAGGGAATGAGACACACCTTTAGCTGGGGATTAGTGAACATGAAAGCTAGCTCTTTATTTTAAAAATGTGACATAAGCCACGGAGTTGATAGACACCCAGAAATAGGCGAGACAGTCGAGCACACGCGGTGGAGAGAGGATGGGCAGTGGAGGGAATTCAAGCCTGGATTTAAACCTGGGCAACAGCACTCCCCAGCTGCGTAGCCCTTTGTAAGGACCTGAAGTCCCTAAGCCTCAACTCCATCATCTACACAATGAAGATAATGACACCTATCTCATATATGACGTGGTGCAGCCCAGGTGCTGGTACATGTCACACACGCCATTAAGGGAGCCGTGATTCGAGCGGTTTGACCTTCTGAGTTTGCGGATAGGGATGTGGGGTTCTGAATCTGACTCAAGCCCCGGCACATGATGTGCTTGAATCAATCAACCTCCTCCCCGGCTCTGGGTCTCAGCCTTTCCTCTGTAACACCTCCACTCCAGCTTCAGTGTGAGATGGCAAATACAACCTTTGAACACACTTGGCAAAAAAGTCTACTCAGAAGGAAGAAGGAAACCAAAGTAATGGACTACAAATCTCAGTCTGGTTCTACTTCTTGTTTTGCATTTTAACTCAAAGGAGCCTTGTGACCCACAGGAGAAGTCGCTTAACTGCAATGCTCCTTGGTGACCATGAAATCTGGAGGTGCCTGTCGACCTGATGGCAAACACACTTCCTTTTAAGATACTACTAAGTCCTGAGAGTTGTTCCAGACAAGCTAGAAAGGCTGGGAATCCCAGAGCTCTTGGTTTGGGAACGCACTGGGTGGAGAGGGGAGAGTGAGATTCCCGGGGGGCCCTTGCCACGTGAGTACAATTCTTTTTCTTTTTTAAATGTTTTAATTTTCCTTTATTTAAACTTAAAACATTTAGTGGTATATCAGCCATTTTTTCAGGGCAATGGTAGATGCTCAATTAAAAATTTTTTTTCTGTATTTATTTTGTAATTTTTTAAATATATTTTTATTCAAGTATAGTCAATTTACAATGTTTTGTCAATTTCTGGTGTACAGCATATAATGCCTCAGTCATATAGGAACATACGTATATTCATTTTCATATTCTTTTTCACCATAAGTTACTACGAGATATTGAATATAGTTCCCTGTGCTACACAGTATGAACTTGCTGTTATGAGTACAATTCTGAAGCATGGCAATGCTTCTCTCCTGCTCCCTTCGTCTCAAACACCAGACCGTAACCAGGCCCTGCTCACACTTTCTCACATTTCTCTTGTTTCTTGGTGGTGTGGTTCAGAGTATTTTATGTACCAGGAATGGCCGTCCAGTTTCCAGATGGACAGAGTGAGACCAGAGCTGGGGAAAGGCCGGCTGCCACCCACAGCACTGGCTATGGGGCAGAGGTCAGGTGTCCCTCCCTGTTCTTAACCTGGACACTAACCATGACCTCACTCCCTCTGAAGTGCTCGCGGGCCTTACAAATTCAGAAACTGCACAGTGAAAAGGTTGGAGCAAGTTCAAAATCAACAGCTTTCAAGGTCAGAACCAAGTCTCACCCCAACTGCAGGCACAGGCTCCAAGGTACCCAGCCCCTAAATGTCATCTAATTTTATAGGCAGAGCCTTGTGTTTTCTCAACCTTGGACACTCCCTTTATCCTTCTCTTCCTGAAGAGAGAGAGATGGGAGATCCTATGGGAAGGGAAAGCAGTAACAGGGAATCAGAGACAGGAGGGAAATGTAAATCAAGGGTGGGGAGTGGAGAAGGGAGCGCAGGTGGGCACTCACTCAGCAGGAAGACACCAGGTCCTGGGGAAAAAGTGGAAATCTTTAGGGAACATCTTTAACATGCGGCCCATATTCCTGGCCAGCAAGTCCTTGCGACAGATTTCACTCATCCCTGGAAAGTGATTGATTTTCTGCAAAGGAAGCAGGAATTCGTGAGCGAGGGGGCACACAGGAGTACCCCTGAGATCCCTCTGGGGGGCAGTCATGAGTGAGACCCCACCGAGGACCAGCTCTGACCCAGATACCTGGTAACTTTTCATTTCCATCACCCGTTCCAGTGACACCGAATAGTCAGTCCAGTAGAGAGTCCAGTCGCCACTCTCCCCTCCCTCTCGGAGGCCATACTGTTGGGCGGCCCTTCGCACTGCCACGGAGTTGGAGAAAGAAACCCCTGTTAGCCAGGAAGTGGGGGAGGGGCGTGAGGTGGGGAAGTGACATTTGCAGGTGCTCCTAGACTGTATAATGAAGCCAAACTGGGCTCCTGGGGACTGGAAGCCACCTTGCCCTGTCTGGACACACCATCACCAGGAAGGGGACACAGAGTGGAAAGCTGCTGGAGAACACAACCTGCTGCCAGTGATCTCCACGGAAAGCTCCCTGGGGCGAACGTTTTACCCGCCTTTGCCAGGAAGTAGGCCTCTGGCTTCCCTCCAAACACTCGCACTGAAGGTTCAGGGAATATAAAGCTAATCCTTAACAGCAGCCAGAGCCAAGTTTAATTAGGTAAATTGACACCAAAAAAATTACACAACGTATTTCAAAACCACAGACTTGCTACCACATCCTTGTTCCCCTGCCCCTGTTAGTGTTAATAACTGGGAACTGACTCCTACACAAACTCAAATGCCTTCAAGGGCCTGGAAGAGAAGTGCCCGCCGTAACCAGAAGAGTCAGAACCATCCAAATTCGAACCAAAGCACCCAAATTCAAAATGCAAGTAACAGCGCTCTGCTCTGCAGTCAGAGTAGTTCTGCAGGTCATCGGCAGCCCACAGACTGCCAGTCTGTAACTTGTGCTCTAAACAAGAGCCATTGATTGCAGCCTTCTCTGCAATCAGATCCCCAAGCAACCATAGACAAGAACTATAGATAGCTGAAGTACACACCGCCATGGTTAAAACCCATTTTTTTCTTGGAATGAGATTCCCAACTTCCCCAAATAGTTAACTGAGCTGCGAGTAGCAAAGAACAGGATTTGGAGACACCCCTTTCCATCTTCAAGAATGCGTGAGTCATCCTTCCCAACCCTTTCGGGGAATCTGGTGGGTCCCCCTGGTGGATCCTGTGGATGCAGATGCTCACCGCTCTCATATCGGCAGCTGGTTAGATTGATCACCAATCATCTGGAAAAGAGGAAAGGGAAAGCACCAAGACAGAGGCAGACACACTTGCCAGGACAAGGGACCGCACGCAGAAACATCCTGTCCCACGGGGCACTGCATGAAACCTAAGCGGCCACACTAAGCCCGGTGTGATCATCCCCGTTACTGAGGACACACGTCCCAAGGGTTGCAGAGCAGCAGAAAACGTGGGTTCAGAGTACTACTACTCTGCCCGTGAGCTAGAAATTCTGTATTATGATTGCAGCTGACTTTGCTTGGAGCTTCATGTTAACACCATCACCTCTTCAAAACATTTATTCCAGCGACCCATCAGGAACCAGAAGTGAAAATCTTTTTGGTCAAAATACTTAATTGTCTCCCACATCTTGCCCCACCCAGTAAGGGAAGCTGTGAGTTAGAAAGCAGATGAATTTTCAGACATCAGTCAGTCTGAGTAGCAATTCATTTTCCCCCAGAATGGAACAGGTATGGCAAAATGTTAAATGGGAACTGGAATACCAAAGCTGCAGTCAGAGCCTAAGAAGTCAGTGTGGTTCTGTTACATTTTAAAAGTGACCTAAATTCCCAGGACGATAAGGACTTTCTTAAAACAAGGAAATCATCTCTCCCCACACAATTTCCTAAAAGGTACTCTGGAGGGGAGGGCACAACTCAGTGGTTGAGTACGTGCTTTGCAGGCATAAGGTCCTGGGTTCAATCCCCAGCACTTCCATTAACTAAATAAAAGAAAGGGGAAAAAAGGCAATCTGAACACAAATAGAATGATTAGGACAAGGCGTGGTTTTAGATTACACACACCATTATTTGAGTCTATAAACAGATTATCAAAAGTGGGTTCTTTTGACATGAACCGAAAGCGATTCCGCACCCAGTTTCTCCTTGACCCACTCCTTAGCAGATGAGACCCCTCCCTTCCAGGCCCCTCCTGCTCTTACCAACACGGATATCTATTCCCCATCTTTCAATCCTAACCTCTTTTTTTTCCTCTTCTTGCCTTGCTGCTGGGCATTCTGAAGACCCTTTTGCGCCCCAGAGTTCTCGCTCAAAAAAGCCAGGGTGACGATGTCTTTCGAATCTTCTGTGGAACTATCCTCCCTCTCTTCTGAGTCTGTCCCTTCCTCTCCTTCCAAAGGCAGGCACTGGAGCATCTCCCCTGCCTGGGAGGAGGCTCTGGGGAAATATTGGCCCCCCCTGGAGAAAGGGCAGACAGAGCGGCAGTTACTTGGATCCACCTGCAGGGGGACCCCCTCCCTTGCTCATGTGGGTGGTGGACCAGCACTCAGAGACCAGACAACAGGTTGCAGTATATAAAATGCCACCCCACCTCCACAGTTGGTGCAAGCTCTAGCAGGGAACTAACGCCATCTTCTGCCATGACTATGACCTTGGGGACTCACTCAGCCAACTCTGGCCTTGGTTTTTCCCTCCTGGGGTTTTCAGGAGCAAGCTGAGATGCTATCTGTGCGTGGCACCACCTGGTAAACAATCGTATTATTAAAGTGAGTGAGTGTCTGGAGACAGCCTCAGGACCAAGCCCTAAGCCTCCCCAGCTGAGGGAGTTAGTCCCGGTGGATGCAGATGAGGTGCTTTGGGAGGTCTGTTAACTATTTGGGCACTGCACTAAACCTCTCGCACGCAATCTCCTGGCACAGCTGGCACTCAGGAGTGCAGGACTGACTCTTAGCTAATGGAACAAGATTCGAGCCCAGGGCCAGATGCAGACCTTCAGAGACCTCAACCACAGAAAAGTCTACAGTGTCTCCCTATCTATCCAACTCAAAATAAAAGCAAGACCAAATCATAAAACATGTCTAAGGAAGTCCAGCAAAGTTCTCATCTCCCAACCCCAGCGATGACTTCTTTGATGTTTGCTTAAAATTTCAAATATCAAATTTTGTACATAGTTCTTGCTGCTCCTGCTTCACTAATCCTTAGGAATGTGCTTAGTCTGCCTTTGCGGACCCAGAACTGCCCAGGCTCAATTAACTGATTCATATCCTCTTCACAACCAAAGCTTCTATGACCACAAAGCCAAATTTCTAGTCCTCTCCCCTCCTCTCCTCACCTCCCCAACCCCGCTGACCTCCTCACTGTTTCAATCCCTCTCTTCTGATGCCCAGAGTCCTCTTGATTCTTACCCTGTTCTTCCTTCATAAACTCTTTGGCTTTTCAAAAAGATATTAATAACGTCTTTATTACAACTTATTCTGATTTATTATTATTTTATATATATAGCATTAAAGGAAGCTCAGAAAATTTTCTACCCTAACAATGCAACTTTGGCCCTTTTGTATATTCTTTTTTATTCTAAACTTCTAAGCATGATTATTCTTATATAATTGTAACCCTAATATATAAACAATTTTGTATCTGCTTTTTGCCCACTTACGATCATACCATATCCATCCCTTTGGTTATGACAAAGTTGATGTATCTCTAGTTTGGGGGAGTTATTTTTATTTTTTTGGTGGGGGGAGGTAACTAGGCTTACTTATTTACTAGAGGAAGTACTGGGGATTGAACCCAGGACCTCGTGCATGCTAAGCATGAACTCTGCCACTTGAGCTATACCCTCCCCTAGTCTAGTTTTTAATGACTGTGTAATATCATCCCACTGAAGGAACATAGCTGAATTTAACCAACCCTTGCCCTACTGATGGCCATGTAAGTTGCTCCCGTTTTTGCTATTACATAAACAGCTCTAAAATGCACACTTTCATGTATAGAAAAGCTTTTATGAAGTTAATGAATATGAAAACTATGTAGCCTCTGATGGATGGACGGATGGATGGATGGATGGATGGATGGATGGATGGATGTCACCATGTTATATCCCAGAGTGATTCCAACAGTTTGGACTACCACCAGCCATATGCAACTACAGCAGGCTCCCCTATCACAAGATCTCTTGTGTGTACCTGCCCTGGGTATACACAACCTTGCTAACTCTAGACAACTTTTATACCTTCCGGCCATGTTTTTAACATTACTACATCCTTCCATCTCTCTCTGCTTCTTTCCCAAACCAAAACTGAGAGGGGAGAGGCTCTAATATGGAGGCTACCCATGAATAATTTAATAATAAGCCTTACATGGGTACAATTCTTAAGGTTTTCCAAAGAATTGTCACATGCACCATCACACTGAACGCTCGTAACCACACCAAGAGGGAGTGCAGAGTTATTAAGTGGCCAAGGACTGCCACTTCTTCCTCTCTCCTGCTGAAAAGGCTGCCCCTTATAGCCAAGTCCTCAGGAGGTGACACCTGAGCTGGGGCAGAAGGCGCCATGCTCAGCGCAATTAACGGATGAAACATGGGCCTTGTGGATAGGTTTTGCTCAGTGAACAGGTACATTCTTGGCAAAGTTCAAGAGGACTAAGGTACATGAAATCTTGACCTTGGGCTGCTCCCTTCCCGCCAAGTAAACGGCCAGCTCCCCTCCCCTGGCCTCCACAACGGCTCCTGTTGACCAAGCCCTCGAGGAGGAGTGGCTCCGTTTACCTTCAGGTTAATGTTAACTCGAGGAGAGAAAACTGACCCTGAATTTGGCCTCTGCAGTTGCGGGTTGTCTTGGCCCTTTTTCGAGTCCTGGCCCAAGTGATAAAAACAAGTCATGGCTGCTTATATTATTCTGCCTCAAAGAGAAGAAAAAAAACAACAAAAACCCAACAAATTCTGTTTACTCTTGCACGAGAGGGCCTTGGGCATTAGAGCAAGGAACAGAGCCCGTGACTTCTGTAGGCAATGGTTCATTGTGGCAGTCTGGGCCACCTTCCCCTCTATGACACAAGAGCCACTTTGGTGGCACCCGAGACAGATCCAAGATGGCGAACCACCATCACTGCCTTGTGTGACTATTTTTGCTTTGTCTTTGGGCCCCTGGATTTCTCTTTTCCCAGCCTTCTCCTTCCTCTTTCATCCCCAAGGTTAAATCCTGCAGACTTCTCTCCAATAGCTCCTGAAAGAGAACACTTCATTCAAAGGTTTCCCACTATGGCTTGCATCCTGAATCTAGCCTGCAGGAGCACTGACCTGGCCCTCAGTGGCATGCTGTCACTGTTACAGCTGTAAAACAGAAGCAGCTGACCATAACTAGGAAATGTAGATGTCTCAGAAAAATCTAAGTTCCCACTTCCCTTGGAAAAGTAGGTCCCCACTGCTTCATGCCAGCAATCAACCAGAGCCAAGTGATGGCTCCCTCTTTAGACGTTTTCCAGTCCACCCCAGTCCCTGTTACTCCCTATTGTCTCCCTGATTCAGGAGCTAAGCAGCAGTTGCCCCTGTGCTATTACTTTCCTGATAGTAGCAGTAAGAGAGAGGGAACATTTTCAGATACCCCAGATCACATTTCTCTAGTTTAGGCTACACACCTGACCCCATAGACATCTGAATTTACCCACCCTCCACTCACATATCTCTACTTCTCTGTCCCAGTCTGAGTGACTACTACTCCCTGCTAACCTGGGGGCTCCTACCTACTCTCCTGCCTTAAAATTTGGTCAAAAGCAGTCTTGTAACCTTGAGGAATCCAAAGAGGTGAGGCCAAAGGTCAAGGTTAAGAAGAATACGAAAGAGGGAAGGGGGCTGTGGCTGGCATCCTGAGTTACTGTACATACATCCTGCTCTAAGGGCCTCTTCAGTCAGAGATGTGACTTTGAATCACTTGCTAAGAGGCAGCTGTAGTGTAGTGGCTAAGAACTCAAGACTCTAGAGTCTGTTTGCCTATATTTAAACCCCAATTCTGCCACTTTCTAGTTTTGACCTCAGGCAATTTATTTAACCTAATATTCCTCTGCCTTAATTACCTCATCTGTAAAACAGTTTGCCCCAGCTATGGGAATTAAATGAGTTACACTTTCAGTAATACAATGTGCTTAGAACAGTGTCTGGCACATAGTAAGTGCTCACTAAATGCTTTCTATCATTATCAGCCATGGGGCCCTGGACTGTGAACTCCCTGATGGAAGAGGCTATGTCTGAATTCTCAGCACCTACCACAGTGTCTAGCTCATGGCAGGGGTTCCTATGCTTCTTGAATGAATGCACTGGAAGAATGAATGTGTGCATAAACTAATTTTGCCTTTTGAGGTTCATTTTCCTCATCTCTGTAAGTGTTGCTTTGAGCATTAAAAAAAGTAACATTTTTAAAGAGTCGACCTTGCATTCTTTCGTATAGCAAGCACTTAAAATACGTAGTTTCATTTGCTTGTAACAGTAGCTATGACGTACAACCTACTTACCAAGTAACAGTATTAATTATACTAAAGTACTTTATATACATTCTGTCTCATCTTCATAATATCATATCATAGAGATTATCTTTCCTCTATTACAGATGAGAAGACAAACACGGAAGGGTTAAGGTAAGAGGCAGAGCTGGGATTAGAAGCCATGCCTGTCTGACCCCTCAGCCTGTCTCCCCTCCAGACTCCAGCCTTTTCCTCTGTGTTGATCACCCATAAATGATCACGACCATAAAGTGAAGCAACTGATTTCCTCACTCCCAGAAGCAGTCTTGGTGATTTTAGTCCCTTAAGAATCAGCTGGTCCTACATCATTTTGCTTAAAGCCAAGTGCTTTTAAATTCCTGCCCCCAACAAGGGGCCTGGATCTCCCCAGATTTGCCATAGCCTGGGACCAGCTCTATTGTTTCTATTTTGTATGTATTTTCACTCTGTTTTTTCCCTGTCTTTCCACCAGTGGTGTCCACACTGTACCAGGGCTCTTATTTGGAATGTAATTCAAACATTTTTCTAATGAAATTCCTGAATATTACAACTGGGAGGGACCTTGGAGAGTGTCTAGTTCAACCTGTTTGGTTTTTAGAGGTTTTGAAATCCCCCCTCCCAGCTAGCGGAGGGGACTTGCACAAAGCCAGAGAACAAGTCAGTGGAGCCAGAATCAAAGCCCCAGCTTCCCATCCTTGTCCATATCTTTCCATTATGCCAGGTTAGTGGGCAGGCAATGTGGACCAGGGATTTGGGGGATTTAAAAAAAAGAACACTGTGGTGTAAACATGTAGTAAACACTGCAACTACCATCTTCAGTTTTTCTTAATGACACAAGACACATTCATTTCACTTTCCCAAGTAGGATAGTTAAGACAGGGGGAAAAAAACCCTGGTGTTTCCTTCCATTCTGGTATAGGATTTGATCCTGAGATCTTCCAAGTCA